CCACAGTTATAGTCTCCAAGACAGGACAGGATAGGTCAGGGCTGAAAGTCAGACTATTAGGTATCTAAGATGATGATTGTTTCCAGATGTGCTTGAAGTTGAATACCTACTACTCATTTAACAATATTCATGTACATTATCTCAGACTTCTACTTTTCTCATGAGAAATTAATTGCTTCCACGAGGCACCAGTGCTTTCAAGTGAGAGATCCTTGGGGGGGGGGAATCATTTAGCACCATCTGATAGTACATTAGTGCTATGGGCTATTTTATCATTGACCTTTAAAACAGCTAGAATGGATGACTACTAGAGATAGGATACTGTGCATGGTGGGCCATTGTAATAACTGTGTAAGGCTCTCTTGTTATTCCATTCACAAGGCCTCAAGAACAAAATGTGTTCCAGAGCGGTGACCAATACAGGACATGGATAAAGAAAAGCAAGGCTCTCTTTGCTGCTCCCGTTTCTCACAGTAACAAGAACTATAGGGACAAGTCACATTACTTTATTGAGCAGGATTAGTTTGTGCAAGAAATCTGTGATTTGAGGCCTGAGATTTATTTGACATGCAACATTAATTTTCATGGGAACTTTCGATTTAGGATCTCTTTTGAATTACAATATCTAATTAAATTTTAATTGTAAATCGTGTCCAGACACTAGATGTTTTCTGGCTCAAATTCTTTAGCACATATGGTGCTAGTATAAGCTTGTGCCAGTCTGCCTACTCTGGGTAATTTTGCATGCAAATAGTTTAGTGTCTCTGTTGAGGTGCTAGAACATGTTTAGTACACTTGAAAATATTTCCATTGCAAAAGGAGAGATAATCTCTTGAGGAAAATCAATTTGATATTTTCGCATTAAGAGACTACACTGGGCATGGTGTAATACTGTTTATACCTATAAGCTGGCGTTTTAAATCAAACTTCATAGAAGGAAAAGACATAACGGCTTTGGCAAGCATGACGGCTACTGACAGAGTCCCTCCTTGTCATTCACCAGGACACCTCTTGGCTACTGCTGTTTCCTCGATTCTATGAAAATATTCTCTAATGTTGTGACACAATCTGCAATAGAATAAGCACTTGAGTATACCTATATTATGCAATTATCAGTTTAACTGTCATGACTTTTCCTAAAGAATCCAGGAAATTACAGATTGAAAAGCTGAGGACCTGCAAGAGTCACAGGGAATGGAATTCTCCCCCCCACACACACACACACTGTCTCTCTCTCCACACACTGTCCTTCTTCCCAGCCCTCTCTCCCTCCATAGCCTGGCCCTCATTATTTCCCCCATCCTCTTCCCCACCATTCTTTTCTCCCCCCTCTTCCTTTCTTGCCAGTCTTGGCACCATTTTTTCTCCCTCTCCAGCTTCACCTGTTGCTGCTTCCTCCTCGCTGTTGCTTCTTTCTCCCTCCTAACTGTCCAGCTGCCCAGATCCCCGAACTGTTGGGGAGGAAGGAGGCTAGGCATGGAAAGCCTGCTCAGGGCTTTGTGCTCCAAGTCTGAGGCTGCCACTGTCAGCGTGCTGATGGGGCATGTGCTTCGGGCATGCTTTCCCGTCCATGCTTCCCATAAGCAAGCTGATGGCAGCAGCAGGAGACTAGAAGAAATTCAGAGGGGAGGGGATATCTCAACCCCCCCCCCCACTAGTCTCCTTTTGTGCCTCCTGTTTTATTCTCCCTTCTCCTTGCTCTGACCCTCCTGCCACCCTCTCCCCCCACCCCCCCCCCCCCCACTCACTTGCTGGCTTGTTCACTTTGCCTCACCCACTGCCTACCTGCCATCCCTGTTTGCTTGTCCCACCAACGCTGCCTCTCTCAGCCCCCCCTTCCCCCGGTGAATTTCTACTTCTTCATTTGTTTGTTTATGGGCTTAATAAACACCCTCAAATTGGTAACTGAGATCTCACAATCATGGGTTCTCATTTTTGCCTCCAGCAAGTTGGCGTTTGGGGGATTTTTCAAAGCTGGTAGTTTTCCCAGGGTTTTAGAAAAAATTGTCCCGATCCGATCATGGCCCCATTTTGTATTAATTTTTTGATTCACATCTTAAGGCAATTGTTAAGAATTAGATATGGCTTCTAGGAATTATTGCTTTGTGATTTCTAGCTTTCCCCCTAGAAGATAGTTCTTAGGGTTCCCTGAGGAGGGAGATGAATTGTTCATTTGTTTTAGGTCTGAAATGTAGATAGGCTCTCTGAAACTTAAATATGTGAAGGACCAGGTATCAGGAAAGAACAGAACAATGGGTATGAAGACATATTACTTCCTCAGGACACTGTAGACCTCGAGCTTTTACCAGACATGGTCAGACTCAAGAGCGGCAAGTTATTTCTTCTTTTTGGGGGGTAGACCTGAAAATGTCAATCCTTTTAATAGTTTGCAGTCAAACTATTTCTCTCCTCCCAATGCCCAGGAAAATAATTTTACAGCACTCCCACCCCTACCCCCCGTGCTCCTTGAACATAGATTTAACTGGAATATTTTTTTCAACAAATATATCTAATCCATATCCATAAATCTTTGAAGATTTACTTAATATTGTAGAATTGGCATTTGACTTCAGTTTATATTTCATATGAACTACCAATTATCTTTATCTAATTTATATCCAATATGCCTTGCATGTGATTGTGCAAAAGAAGTCTGTCTCTCTTTATTCTTACTCTTTATTCTTCTTGGTCAGTATAAAAATATATTCTACTACAAATTCATTACCTTGCAGAAATACTTCAAACCCCAACACAAGATTGGGTTTGGGGGAGGGTCTGCAGCTTGCTGATAAAGCATCTGCTTGGCATACCTAAGGTCCCTGGTTCAATTCCCAGCATCTCCAGTTAAAAGGATCAGGTAGTAGGTGATGTGAAAGACCTTTGCCTAAGACCCTGGAGACCCACTGCCAGTCTGACCCTGATGGACTAATGGGTCTGATTCAGTATAAGACAGCTTCATATGTACGTTAATATGTTTGTAGGAAGGGTTCAGGAAACTTTGGAAATAAGTAGATTCAGGTGGGTTGTCATGTTGGTGTGAAGCAATAGAACAAAGTGTGAGTCCAGTGGCACCTTTTAAGACCAACAAAGTTTAGTTTGGGGTATAAGCTTTCTGTCAGCAAGCTGCCAAATGTTATTTCATGTTCCACATCGCAATTGGTGCATGTTCTGTTACATGTCACACTCTGTGTATGTTCCCCCCCTATTTAGCTTTTCGTGCTTAGCGGTCCGCTTCTATAATCATGTGCATGCCTAGGTGCCACCTGCTTGCAAGAGTGTGCCTCGCTTATTTACTGTGACGTTGTCTGTCTCAGGGTCACAGGTGGTAGAGCGGAGAACTCTGTGCTTTGCTTTTAATGAGGGGAAACTGTGGGAAATGCTTTGTAGTGGTAGCACCCTGGCCGTTGCTTTCCCAGGGAATTGGGCGCGTGGAACTGCTTTTTGGCTCGAGCGGGAATTATGGTCATTGGCTGTAACCATTATGAGTTCGCTTTATCCTTTCTAGCTCTGTGGGCTAATGTTATTCTGAAAGGAGAATCTGTTCAGTGACTCATGGCTTCAATAAAGTAATCCTTTTCTATAAGAGTGACTACGTTGATTGTCGTGGGACCTGACACTTTCGTATCCGTGTGCACTTTTTCAGATATGTTGAAACAGTTTTCCTCAAGCCTTACATATGGGGGGGGGATGATAAGTATAGCTGAGATTGGATTAAAACAGTTGGTAAAACCTGTGAATGGCAGCAAATGAGCATACAAATACAAGAGTTAACAAACAGATGTGAGAACTAAGTTTGAGTCCAGTGCTAATTTGAGTGCTAATTTGCTGCCATTCACAGGTTTTACCAACTGCTTTAATCCAATCTCAGCTATACTCATTGCCCAGTTATTTATGCATCTTGACTCTAACTAGGCCTTCCTGCCAACTCCCTTTCTACCTATATATAAGGCTTGAGGAAAACTGTTTCAATGTATCTGAAGAAGTGTGCGTGCACACAAAAGCTTATTCCCAGAATTAAACTTTGTTGGTCTTAAAGATGCCACTGGACTCAAACTTGGAAAAGAGTACCTTATACTTGTTGCCTGGACAGCATCCTGTTGACGTTAAGCTAACTGAAAGAGCTTCCTTTTTTTCTTCTTCACAAACCATTCTGTAGAACTGTTCATCAGCTTGGATACTGAGTACAAAAACAAAAATGAGTGAAGACAAAGTAAGTTTTCTGTGGATAGATGGCAAATATCCATGTCTACATTGTAGACTTAAAATGGTATACAGGTTGTTCTGCAGGCTACGTTAGATTAGTTGGTGCTGGGTACAAAACAGGTTTTCAAGTTGCACCAAAGGCAGCTGGGATAACGAAGAAGAGGGAGAAAACTGATATTCTTCTTTGGGAAGGAAAAAGAAAGCAACCAATCAAATTAAAAGTTATATTAAAAAAAATATTCTGCAGACCAACATGGCTACCTACAATCTTTGTCTATAACTCTGCATAGTATGCTGTAGACTAAATTTTACTAATTCATTATATATACGTTGGACCTTAAATTAACAAAATCTCATGTGTACTACAAGTAACAGGTCCTTGGATCATCCTAGTGTAATCTTTCTGTAAAAATCTTTTATAACTGTCTTCTGGGTTTTCATCCAGTTGTTATCCATGAAAAGATTATTTTGCTTGTGGTCTGAGGCTACTTAGTATTAAATAAATGTTAGAAGATCACATCAGAAGTCTCCAGTAATTTCTTGCATCTATCAACATTTTAGTGGTAATATTCATCAAGCTGATTTTCTTGTGTGATTAGAGTCTCTGGCAGAGGTCTTTCACCTACTATCTTATCCTTTTTAACTGGAGATGCTAGGGACTGAAACTGGGACATTCTGTGTGCAAAGCACTTTCACAGAGCCACAGCCTCTCCCCATACCAAGCTGATATGTCTAAGCAAATTTATTGGCAATACAATTCGTTTCTAGTGCTAATTATTTTGGATTATGTCTACTCGTTATAGATCTATAGTTACTCTGTGTACCACATATTCCAGTACCAGGAAGACCACTTCCTAAAACATGAAAAAATGGTTATATCAATCTTTTTGAGACGTTGGGGGTCTTTTGAGGAGAGGCTCTAGCAGCTACAGTCCAAATTTGGTGCCTCTACCTCAAACCTCCCCCCCCCAATCCCCTGAAAACTTGTTAGAAGATTTTTGCCATTGACTACAATGGCCCCATAGGATATAATGGACCCAAATTTTTCGAATATCCAAAAATGTCTGGATATCTATAAAGTATTGGTATTCAGGTTTTTTTCGGATTTCCCCCCCAAAAATTGGATTCAATATATCTAAATCTGAAAATCCCTGATTTTTTTTCCCTGCACACCCCTAATTGTCATATAAAATTTTATGCTTGTATTTTTATTGATGTGTAGCTTGAGCTGCAGAGTGTACCAGTACAACCTCCAGTGAACTTAATGTATGATTACATCAGGCTGCAGAGTGTACCGGTACAACCTCCACTGAATTTAATGTATGATTACATCTGAGGATAGTTTTAAGCAGGGGTCTCATGGGGCCGGAGCTCTCCGAAGCCCCGCTCCAGGAGTGACCAGCCCAGGGGGCGGGGCGGTCACATGACCAAGCCCTGCTCCCAGCAGCCTGCCCTGCCAGTAGGCCGTGTCTCACCCGAGTGGCCCACGAGGAGGCGGGCGAATTGGGCGGCACCAGCAGGGGCCGCTTCTCCAGGTGGTTGTAGGTGGAGGAGCGACGCCTCTTCATCGCCCCGCGCCCAGGATGGAGCAGCTGCAGTGGCGGAGGAGGGCCGGGGAGCTGCGCTTTCTCTCTGGGCGCTGCCTCTCGTCGCTCAGGCCCCCCCCGCTCCGGCCAACGTTGGCTCGCATGGTTGGCGGCGGCGATGCCTCCTTGAACCACCGCCCGTGCCATCCCCGTTCAGACATCAAGCTGCCTTACTGGGTGACCCTGGGCAAGCAACCTACGATCTCCCCCTAGGGCTGTTGTGGGGGTAATAAGAACGATGATGACTACTACTGCAATGAACTCTTTGGAGGAAATGGGGGCGGGGAAGAAATCTATCATTTATTTGTTTGTTTTGTGGCTAAACGGCGCTAACAAAGAAAGGGGAAACGTGGTATTTTACATTTGATGAGTTGTGGAACGCCCACCATGAAAGAAGCCGGGTGTCCCAAAGCCCGCAAGGAGGAGGAGGAGCGTTTGGGGAAACTGCAGCTGTCTTTAGAAGAACATCGCCTCCCCCCCACATGCTTTCATGGTTTCTTTTCCCCTCCTTCCTATCGCTCCTGACCCAGCAAAGCAGCATTTCCGTTCAGCCAGAGGATCCTCCTTTTGAATTGACATCTTTTGCGGACAGCGGAATAAGGTGCCCCGAACCCCGGGATGGCACGGGGCAGTGGGGCGAGGAGGCATTGCCACCCACCGCCCGTGCGAGCCAACGTCGGCCGGAGCGGGGGGTGCTGAGCGACAAGACAGGCAGCGACGAGACAGACAAAAAGACCCCTGGTTGCTGGCATGCTCCCGTCAACCAGGAGAGCCTGCAGCACATGGATCCAGCACACGCAGAAGGGCCACGAGGGGAGACAAGCCACGTTTTTTCTTGGTGGTACTCCGATTCCCCCCCAATACTGGAAGATGCGTGCCCGCCCGGGGCGCGAATCTGTCTGTGGTGCACGGCTGGATTTCACGCGGGCTTCCAAGAAACTACGGTTCCCAGGTCTCCCTACAGCTCCGGGTTTCTGGGTGGGGAAAGGAAAGAGGGAGCAGGAAATTCAAAAATCGAACCCGAAAGCGGAGTGGGAGGGCGTGGATAAAGGGGCGATGGAGGCTCTGGGCATGCGTCGTCTCGGCCCGGCGGTGATGGGATGGACGGGCAAATAGAGGGAAGAGGCCCCGGCGAAGCTGGCTGGAGGGGCCAGAGGGCAGTCTGGGGGGGGGACGCGCCCTGCCCTTATTCCGCTGTCCGCAAAAGATGTCAATTCAAAAGGAGGATCCTCTGGCTGAACGGAAATGCTGCTTTGCTGGGTCAGGAGCGATACGAAGGAGGGGAAAAGAAATCGTGAAAGCAGGGGGGGGAGGCGATGTTCTTCTAAAGACAGCTGCAATTTCACCAAACGCTCCTCCTCCTCCTCCTCATGGGCTCTGGGACACCCGGCTTCTTTCATGGTGGGCATTCCACAACTCATCAAATGTAAAATACCACGTTTCCCCTTTCTTTGTTAGCGTCGTTTAGCCACAAAACAAACAAATAAATGATAGATTTCTTCTCCGCCCCCATTTCCTCCAAAGAGTAAGAGGGTGTGGCCTTATGACACACTTCTGGTGATGTCAGGGGGTGTGGCATATGCTAATGATTTATGCTAATGAGCTCCGGCAGCTCTTTTTCTACAAAAAGACCCCTGGTTTTAAGGTTTGCAGTCTTTGATTTATGTGACAAAAGATCAGATAATACTATAGATTCGGGGGTAGAGACATGGGGGGCTGCAACACCGTGTGCACTGTTGTATTACTTCTGGGGGGAAAACAAATGTGATGTAGGGTAGCTGTAGGAATTACTGGAAACTATTGTTTTACCATAGAGTCTCCAGCAATTCCTAGAGCTACTGTACATCACGACCTCGTTTTCCCCAGAAGAGATGTAGTGTTGCACACAACAGCATTAAAAAAAAATCCCACTTGGAGCAGTAGCAGACAAGGCGGCCATATAAGACTACAAGGTCTGAAAGTCTGCAGTTATATTTGCTGAAGAGTAAACATTTTGAGATCTAAATTTCTTGTGTGACTGTGATATTATGCAGTGATTTCAAACATATATGCAGCTGGACTGCATCTTCCATGGCTGCTGGAGATGTTTCTTTATCTGACTGTACAAGCTAAAAGTGCACAACAATCCAGAACACAGTTGCATGAAGCCAGTGGATTTAAAGTTTGTATAGATTGTTGGACTGCTGCTTATGCTTTTAATGGGTTGTGTGTGTATTATGTGCCAACAAGTACTTCTGACTTATGGCAACCGTATTAATTAATGATCTACAAAATGCCCTAACACTGACAGCCTTTCTCCAGTCTTGTAAACTGAAGGTGGCTTCCTTTATTGAGTCAGTCCATCCCATGTTAGATCTTCCTCTTTTCCTACTGCCTTTGGTTTTCCTAGCATTACTGTCTTTTTCAATGAATCTTGCTTTTCCCATGCTGTGATCAAAGTAAATGGGTTACTATACAAGAATAATGACTAGTCTGCCATTTGACATTATCTATTAATTCTGTTCTTTACTATATAATAAATATTTAATAAGAACTTATAGACATTTTTAATATTTATGAACCATAAATCGCCTCTACTCATCGTAATTTTTCACAGTCCTATGACAACTGTGGTGGAATGATTAAATAGTTTTCAGTCAATTTTTGAATATGTGCTCAATATGCTAGTTTCTTTAATGCAAAGCCATATTCCAGAAGTGCCAAAAAAATCTCAGCAGTGATTTTGAGTCATATAGGGAAACAAAATCCAAAATCACTGCTGCAGTTTCTCTGCTAAGGTAAGTTGTAGGGGGAAAGGAGTAGGCAGGCTAGAAAGAGAAGCTAGAAGGGAAGGGAAGAAACAAAGCCAGAGTGGAGGGAGGAAAGAAAAGTATAGTAAAAGGAGGTAATGGGAGGTTGAGGGAAAGAAGGAAGTGGGAGAAGAAAAGCTGTAGGTGCTGTGAGCAATTCTCCCTCTAAGCTGTGGAGTCCTGTGAGCAAAAATTCTACTTTGTGAGCTACTTGCATTAAAGTTGTGAGCGAGCGATTTGGCTACTGCATAAATTAGTTTGCTCTGGAGCCATCCGTCTTGAGCTAAGACAAAAATGTGTGAGCCAGAGGCTAAGAAACTTTAAGCTAGCTCACACTAACTCAGCTTAGAGAGAAAACTGGCTGTGAGTGGAAAACAGAGGGGAGAAAGAAGGTAAAGTGAAGGTAGTGTGAGGAGGGGGAGGGGGACCACAAGCGGGGAGGGGGGGGGGGGGATGAGACTTCAGAATCCTCAGGGGTCTCCCATTTGTGCATGTGCATAATATAAATTTAACAAGATACTATATATGAAATACATAGATATTATATGACCAGATTTATGTTTATTTTTAAAAAGTAGTCTGTGCATGCATAATTTCAAAGACACTCTGCAGCCAATCATGGGTAATTTAAAGAAGGCTTAATATTAAACTTCTGCTATATATCAGTTCCCATAAAAAATCTCTGTGATTGATTTATATTTTCTTTCTTGAAGTAGTTACCTTGAAGCTAGTTATTGAAGTGCTCTTATTTGCATTTACAAGAGTTTGATTCACCCATTTAATAATAATTTCATCATTTACTTTCGCTCCTTCTCCAAGGTCTGACAGTACATTCAAAGTATACCTGTAATAGAATGAACATAGAACAGACTTTGTATTGAATGCAGAAATATGTTTTCCCTGATTCTCCTGGTAGTAAATGTAAATAATTATAAAATAATGCTTTCAGAAACCTCTTCAGATAGGGCCCACACAAGGAACATGGACAGGAAGAAAGCCAAAACACTGAGCTCACATGAAAACGGGTCATAACTTTATCAGAGTTAACCCAACAAATACTAATACAGTGCAAAGACTGGACCATGGCAATCAAAGAACAAGCTCTTGACTAGTATGTGGTAGAAGAATAAATTACAGAGGCATCCTTAGCAGGTTACACACTTTTAAACCCACTGACATCATTGAACTTAAAGGTAAAGGTTCCCTTGCTCAAAAGCCAGTCGAGTCCAACTCTAGGGTTGCGGTGCTCATCTCCGTTTCAAAGCCGAAGAGCCAGCGCTGTCCGAAGACGTTTCCGTGGTCATGTGGCCGGCAAGACTAAACACCAAGGCGCACAGGACGCTGTTACCTTCCCACCAAAGTGGTACCTATTTATCTACTTGCAATTTCTTGCTTTCGAACTGCTAGGTTGGCAGGAGCTGGAACTAGAGACGGGAGCTCACTCCGTCATGCGGCAACTCGGGTCTTGAACTGCTGAACTACTGACTGCAGCCTGCAGTTCAGCGTCTTAACCACTTGAGCCACCGCAGCTCCTTTGAACTTAGAAGGGTGTAATTCTGCTGATGATGACCGAGTAGAAAGGTTGCAGTATAGGTAGACATTGTAGCCTGTAGTTGTCCCTGGAGCATGGCTTACACAACCTTCCTCTGGGGCTAACTGCACATTATGTGAAAATGTATGCTTGCTACAATTTTAAAAAAGAAATTGCAATTTTGAAAGGGATAATTCGGAGAGAAGCAGTGGAGGGGAAGTGTTGCTTAACTCTTTCTTTGATCACAGTTTGTACTAAACACCCCCTTATCCTTATGGACAGTGAAGCATGGGTGTTTGCCTACAACTGCAAGACTAGTGTGTGTGCACAAAGCCCCCAACAGCCCTCATAAGAAAGAAGTCCTCCTGAGGAGATAAAAGTTTCTCCTTCCCATTTTTCTAACTATATGTTATTAGTCTTTGAGCTTACATTATGAAAATAGTTTGAAGAGCAAAGATAATCTACTACCCTGATTAATTTAACTACTTGGTGGTGGTTCTTAAAAAAATATCCCATTGTTAATGGATATTTTCATTCACCACACTAATAACCAGCAACTGTTATCTTGAAATCTTGTTAGTACAACAATCACACAATACTTAGCATTAACTACATTTACCTGTACAAATAATTTTGTTGTTTTCACAATCACATTTTAACCCTTTACATTTAAAGCAAAAGTAATAATAAATAGTTAATAACGAGTAGCCAGGAGAGCCTAAGATTGTCTGGCAGCCAGAGGTTCTAGCTCTTTTAGCATTATGCACCACTAGATGGTGAGTTAGACTTGTTTTTAAGGCAAAGACATTTCAGAGGTGGTTTGCCATTGCCTGCCTCTGCATCATGACCTTGGTATTGCTTGGAGGTCGCCATTCCAAATACTTCCGAGATCTGATGGGATCAGGCTGGCCTGGGCTATCCAGGGCAGAACAAAACAAAAGTATCCTTGTAGAACAAAATTAATTGTAACACAGAACACTTATAAATATGTTTTTGTCTACTGCAGGCTTCCAGGATGTCTATATGTACATCCTGTGACATCCTGATGAGTAGGAAACAACCTGCATTCTGCACATTTAGCCATCAGGGAACAACTTTCTACACTGACACTCTTCTCATTTAGAAAAGGACAAGTTGCTAAACGATACCTATGAGTTTTTTCTGGAAGAAAAATTGGAAAAAAATGCCATGACTTTGTCATCCAGATTTGCCATAGGTTTGAAAACAAATGAAAAACATATCATGGTTTTGAAAGCCACTGTATTTTCTGAGGTGTAACAAATCCTTACCTTCTCATTAACTGCCACACTAGTGCCAATGTCAATGTTGGGTTGCCTTCGTTGAGGTCCTGTCCACCAATGCCAACTAAGGAAAATCTGGCTTTTGTCTTTCCCAGTTCCACTGCATAGTTACAGTTTTCAATCTACATTGTTTATGCAAATGACAAATACTTTTTAGATTCACAAACTACAACTATTTGGAATTATATTTTAAATTATGTTTTGGATAAAGCAAACCAGCCACAAACCCAGTAAGGAGGAGCATCCTGTACCAGCCAATTTGTATATTTAATCCACATGTGTATGGAAAGAATTTTGAATAAGGTACAGTGTGTCAACCAATAATATAGGGTTGCCATCCCCCTGTTGGGGGTGGGGTTTTATCCGCTTTCAGGGCCCCAAATCCACCGCCGGCCAGCTAGCTGCTGGGGGAGCCCTGGCCCCGAAGAGCCCTATCACGCCCGATGTGCGGGACCCTCTAGCATTTGGGTAAAAACTCTATGGTGACCATCGAGTTTTTTACCCAAATGCTAGAGCATCCCCTGAACGACATGCCCAGCATGATGATGTCACCTCTGGAGCCCCCCACTGGGACACAGGTAAGACCTGGCAACCCTACAATAATAAGTGGATAAAGTATCATGCTGCTTTCTTATGGATGTTTTGCTCCACCTTGGCTTCTTTACTGTAGCAGCCACATGACATTGGCCCCTTTTTGTCCTGCTTTTGTGTTCACTCTTGCTCTGTTAGAGTCTTTTTAGAGAGATCACAGTCAAAGCACCTTTTTAGAGAGATCACAGTCAAAGCACCTTTACATACTATACGGATGGGAAGGTATGTGTTTTTGCTGGTACCGCTCATATCAGTGCCATTTTACTTCCTTCAGCCCTCACAACTGCTGTTTTACCAATATACACTAGTGGACTTTTCAAAGGCTTTTTTAAAAATTGGGGATTGCTGTATGTTAGAATTTTCTATTGCCATGATCTGCTAATTCCCATATTATTTTTTTCTAGTACTTTTCATTGTGGAATTATAAGGGGTAAGGCACAGGCATTAGATGATTTGATGATTTAAAAGAACATCATCTGTGTCTTCTGTGAAGTTCAAGTAAATTGTACAGATAACTGTCCCAGTAGGTGCTCCACACAATGGTACAAATACATAGCCAGTTCTATGGATTACAGCCAATTTTTTAAATTTTGGACCAGCTGCCAGATGGTGGAAGGGGTTTACAGAGGGGGAAAGCCAAGTACACAAAAAATGCAATAACCGGGTCCTTCATTTGATTCTTCTCCCAGCCATCTGCTACACTTTCTAGCCTAGTGTGGTCTCCTTGATGTTGGTCCTACCTATGAAGGCATGGCATACTAGTGATACCATACCATATAGGTGTCCACTGCTGTTGTTGCTAGATGCATCCCTGGGAGGAAATGCAGGGTGTCACAAATGCAGGGTGTAAAAAACTGGAAGTGACATGGCAGATGCTCGAGTATTTTGAAAAAAAACTATGGTTTTTGCAAAAATATTAGAGCTTCCTCCATGTCACTGTCAGTTTTTACCAGGAGTGATGTAAGTGCACCAGTTTAATGCCAGTGCATGGGCAGGCAACAAGGTGGGAAGCTGTGAGGCTTCCCCCTGTAGCAGGAGGCCTGGCATCCTTACTCCTGCCATTCCCATAGTCTCATCACTCTTGCCATTACTGCTGCTGACCACAGTTGCTCATTTCCACAGCCCCAGCAATTCCACTTGAGAACATGGAAGAAAGTTTTTGGCTCAGCCTTGCTGAACTCTGCTCCAAGAACTCTGACAAAGTAGCAGATTTGTTTAGTTTAAGAGTTGTCAGTCTTTTTAATATGGCAACTAGAGCAAGGGCTAATACTCCAAGGACATAAGTAAATAATGTTTATGTTAACACGATTTAATAAAATGGTTGAATGGTTACTGTCATTTCTAATATAGAAACTTTCCAACCTTTTTCATGTTTCCCCCAAGTGCAGGATATGGTGGTTTGTTGACATGATTCCACTGTACTGGTACCCGTGTCATTTCATAGAGTTGGAAGATTACTAATGCATCAGAAAGGTCACTGGATCAAAATGGAGGAAGAAAACAAATCTTTGTGTTACAAAATTATGGCTACTGGTGTGGATCCTACCCCGTATCCAACCACTCAACTGAACAAAATTTATTTATATATTTATTAAAACCTTTAATTTTGATCAGATTTGAAGCCTTCCTCCAACACAAGTGGCTCTTCCATTAAAACGGTGGTAGGCAAACTGTGGCTCTAGAGCCACATGCGGCTCTTTAGCCCCTTGAGTGTGGCTCTTCCGCTGTATGCACTGACGGCCTATTCCCTCCATTGTTCTCTATGGGGGGAAAAAAGTAACTTTTTCCCCACCATAGAGAACAATGGAGGGGATGGGGCAACCTGTTTGGGGGCCTGTAGAATTGGACCCCCTGGTTCAGTGTTCCTGAAACATGGTGAGTATCTTGGGGAGAGGCTCTAGCAGCTACCCCGCGATTCTGGAGCCTCTCCCTCAAACCCCCTCCCCTCCAGACCCCAGAATACACCCTATGTTTTCGCCATTGACTTCAATGGCCCATAGGATATAATGGGGCCAAACTGCGGTAAGCCCCAGCAGCCCTCAGGCCGGAGCACCTGGAGCAGTCTTGGGAGGTGGATTGGCAAAAAGCAAAACCAAAAGTGCAGGAACTTGAGAGAACTCCAGGAATGGAGCCGGTTCCTCTTCCACAGCCCAAAATGTGACCCACGAACCCTGAGCTTGCTTTTTCTCATTTGCGAGTCTGGCCTCTGCACTCCTTTAACGAGGCAGCCCTGAAGCTTGGGGCGGCAGGAGTTTCTTTGCACGCAGCTTGTGCAGCTGGCTGAGTGCCTCTTCTGCTTGCCACCTCTCGCCTCTGCAACTCATCTTCTGCCAGGCATGGAGGAGCCCAGAACTTTTGAACACCTTTTTAAAAATTGTGTGTGTGTTACCCTCACAACAACCCTGTGGGGTAGGTTAGGTAGAGAAGGGGAGATTTGGCCCGGGGTCACTCAGCCAGCAGAGTGAGAATACAAACCTGGGTCTCCCCACATCAATCTGCAACTCTGACCACTGCAGTGCTGCCTCTACTGATCTGTAATGTTCCAGAGGTGTTGTAATGTAATACTCAGTTTCTCAAATGAGTGTATGCCTGTCTGTTGGTCCACTTAGGAGTCTTGATCCTGGTTGTGTGGTGGGCTAGTTGTGGCAAATGGTAGGGAAGCTCAGTATTTCTGTATACAGTTGTAGGGGCTTTATTGCAATGTGCTTCCAAAGATTTAGTGTGGATGGATGCCCCTTTAAAACAGCCCACCCATATTTACTTGGAGGTGTCCTGTGCGACTCTGCAAGACTACTTGCCCATTGTGGTGTTGCAGTGCTCCCTCCAAGCTGTGGAGCCCTGTGAGCAAAGATTCTACTTCGTGAGCTCCTGGCATGAAAGCTGTGAGTGAGCGATTTGGCTACTACTGCATAAATGAGTTTGCTCTGGAACCATCCTTCCTGAGCTAAGACAAAAATGTGTGAGCCGGAGGCTAAAAAACTGTGAGCTAGCCCACACTAAATCAGCTTAGAGGGAACTTTGAGTGGCCACTTTTTGTCGACTCTGCTTTCGATGTTGCGTGCTTGAAATAGCTGAGCTGGGTAGGAAGGATGACTGTTGCGGGCCTCTGAAAACTGCCCCCCCCCGCCCAATTAACTTGTGAAAGCCACTGCCACAAGATGTGGGTGGGAAGTTTGGGGGGGGAACCCGTAGAGATGAAATATATTGTGAACTTAATCAAGCTTGCATTCAGAGACACTGAACCTCTTAATATGAAATGCTGTTGAGAGAATGGGGGAGGGCAAACTGCTCTTTGAGTTTCCAGAGGCCTCTGGAAGGCTGCAGTTGGGAACAGAATGCTAGCTGCTAGTTAAGAACCTTGAATCTGGTCCAGTGAGGCCATACATATTGATGCTCTCTAGTGTGTGGATGGGACAGTTGGAAGGGGTCAACCTCAGCGAACGTACCTCAGTCAGACTGAGGACATTTTTAGCAAAGGCCAGTTTAGGAGTACCCTAAATAAGTTAATAACAATGTACCTACCTATATAGTTTAAGTTTAAAAAATTTGGCTCTCAAAATAAATTTCAATCGTTGTACTGTTGATATTTGGCTCTCTTGACTAATGAGTTTGCCCACCACTGCATTAAAAGAAGAGTCACTGAAGTTGGAGGAAGGCCACTTGGAGGATAGTTGGTTCCACTCCACTGAGTGCAGTTGGTAGTGTATCACAGAAAATGCTTATTTTTAAATTACCTACTGTTCTCATATTTTCATCCAATACAACTGATTTAATATTCCTCCCACAGAAAACACAGAACATGTTTTATCATGGATTCATACAAGATTGAAGAGTGTAACTCTCAGTCCTAGATTACAGTATAAGAACTGACTGAAATTTCAGCTTTTACGGAAGCACAATTCAGCCAGCTGAGTGAGGCAGACTAGGCAGCCACCTGGGGCAGCACAGTTTGGCAGGTGTCAGACATACCAGAAGAAACTCAGAAGCTAGGCAGTCACATGGCCCCACTCTGCAAACTAACAGGACATCCAAGAATCTTTTGTGATTTAAAAAAAATATATTAAACGAGCTGGTGATCCATGAAACTCATGGAGCAAGGGAAATCCCACTCTGCACTACTGCCCTCTCCCCTGTTTTTCACTTCATCCATTTTTTGTTCCCCCTGCTCTCCATTTTTCATTCCACCCAGCCACCCTTTCTCTGCTGCTTTCTTCCAAGTTGCAAATAGGTGGGAGTTGCCTAGGCCCAGGGTCTACTGCCTCCATTGATAAACAGCCCTATACTGCTAAGTGTGATTTTGCAAGCTTTTATGAGATCCGTCAGCATTCTTCGTTTTGAGGTGTTTTGTGCCACCCTTCCATCTTTTGAAACTTTTTATGTTTTTCTGCAAACCTGGGAGGCCCTCTGGTCTGTAAAAAAAACAACCCAAATCCCTATGTGTACATGGCCTAATTTTGTGTATTTCTGTACCTGAATTTTTGGCCATGTTCACAATCATCTATACAAGACAAAACATTGTCTCATGTCTGATGAAGGGAGCTTTGAATCTCAAAAGCTTGTGCTCTGACAATCTCATTGGTTCCTAAGGTGCTGCGGGACGAATCTAGCTGTTCTACTGCAGACCAGCATGGCTACTCTCTGAAGATAGAACATTTTTACCCTACTTTTAAGTTAAAACTTTTGCTAACAGGACTTGTAAAACATAGTAATAAGAACTATAACAAAGACAACAAAGCAGGGGGGAGAGGCTAAAACCACTATACTAACAATCATGTAACAGTAATACAGCAAATAAATTGTTAAAACATAGGAAAATAAAATATTCTGAATACAGTAGAGTAACACTCAGCAATTGTCTCTGGGAATGGTATGTCACATTTGATTTTGTTATTTGAAACTAGGGGCCAGCCTCTGCTACCTTTGCTCACCAACTCCAAGGCTCACTGTAGTTGAGTATCCTGCATAAAGTTGTCCGTGTAAAAACCAAGAGTTTGGAAAAAATGGCCAGATATATTTTAATGAGTGCCCTTGAGCTTTATTGATGCTCACTGCAAACTTAGTCAAATTAGAAACTAAAGCCTCTTAAATGGAAAGTCTGTAGGGATTCTTGAAATATATACATTCAGACCTGCTGCATGGCCAGTAAATATTGTTTCTGTTAATCATATCTACAGCATCATTTCTAGGTGCTTTGTTATGACCACACTGGATTCATATAATGGAGTGTTACATTTGGAAATGCTGTGTAAATCTTCCAAGTTATCTACAATATGTCTAGTGTTTCCCACAGCTATATATCCTTCTCTATAATTAATTATAGCACCATTATCTAAGTCCAAGAGATTCTCTGCAAATAAGCATCATCCTCAAGATGACCTCTTAACTGGCAAGCTTGTCCAAAGGTTTGTTTCATAAAGGTGGGGATGTACTCCAACCTCCCTGTCTCTGCTGCCTCCACTTTCCTACCTTCTGGTAAGTTATACCATGGCTACCATTGCAAATAGCACAGGAATGTTCTGGAGACAGTCTGGGCCACAAGAACAGTGAATAATTATTTCATAATTATTGGTTAGAGTGTCATTTTGCATGGTTTGCTGCTTTTCCTTTGTTATTCTTTACTGTGCATCTCCCTTGTCTTGGGAGCCACAAACAGACTTAATTTATAACCTGCCTTTCTCCCTAGTGGGGACCCAAAGCAGCACATCTTTTTATTACACAACAGTGGGACCCAGAAGAAAGCTATATAGTTGTGACATCACCTCAAAACTGCCCTGCCCTAAAGGTGGCAAAAATCTTGAGTCATTCTTTCTTGATGGGAAATACCCCTTTAAGCAAGATATGACAGACAAAAATTTGGGCTGTCCTTCTCAGAATGTATTGGCTGAAATAGCTCCCCAGATGCTGCACAAGAGACTGCGGAAGGCTGACAGGTGAGAATATAATGGTGACCCAGTACTGCTGCTAAGATCTTTACATTGAGGATCGGCCCTAAGGGTATCATTTTAAACCCTACTTAAGAAAATGGATATTTTCCTGTAGACATCAATGAGGGAGGGTTACTTCATCAGACCTTTAATGATTAAAGTTAATACCTGTACAAATGGTTAATATAAGGGGTTACACCCAAAGAGTTCATCCAGTTTCGGAATGTCCTTTCTTCCTTACTTTCTCCTATAGCAAAAGGCATAGAATTAATTAGAATACATATTTTAACATTTAATCATGTGATTACTTTGAAGGATATTCTATATCATAAAAGTAACAAATCTTTTCCTGAGGAATAATCTCTTCTGACAAATTGTTAAAATCTATCAAAATCTAGAGGGCTGCATACAAATATTATAGGTATCACAAAGCAAAAGGCAGAACTCTTTTTTTTGCTGAAAACAGAAAAATACAGAGAAACAAACTGCTATACATACATCTTTTTGAGATACCTGCACAGAGATATAGGTAGTGAGGACTGAAATAAATGCAAATAGTAAAATTAAGTAATCAGAATACTTATCATGGCTATATACTAACTCTTGTTAAAGCAGGTTAGGCTAACCATTTACATGGGGTTACCCCATTTTTTTTCCTTACCATCACCTTGAGGCAGGTCTGGCTGACAGACAAGCTTGTGCAAGGTCACCCAGTGAGCTTCACGTGGCCTTTTTATTCAGTATTTCATGGTCCAACTCCACTACTTAATCCACTGTTATCACACTAGCTGTCTTATGTACATTAGTAGGCTATAAAGCTGCTTTGGGTCTCCAATGGGGAGAAAGGTGGGGTATATGTTTATACTACACGTGCGTAGACACAAAAGCTGTACACTATTACCACCACTATGATATGGTAAAGCTGCTAGGAATGTGGCATCCTTTTCACAAAACACTTCCCATCAGATATGTGCAGCACTAGTGCCACTGTTGCTTGTCAATTCAACATTTCTTGCATTTTAGAACATTAGCTTAGTAAGAAAATAATCAGCTAGTTTAGGATGAGAAGCCACCTTTAATGGTGTGTCTTTCTATTTGAGGAGATTAAGCCTATGTCTGGGCTGTTGAAAAAAAGACAGGATAAAAAGAATGCTTGTTTCAATAAATACCAAATACTTGGTTGTTATTTAAAAAAAAAACAACAGATGTGAGTTGGTAGAAATCAAATTAATTTTTAAACAATTCAGCTTAATTTTTATTTCAGTTGATTTTCAGCATATTTTAAAATTAAGAAAGCAAAAATGAGCCATTTTTAATGCTGAAGAATATGAGAAGAAGAAGAGATTGGATTTATACCCCGCCCTTCACTACCCAAAGGTGTCTCAGAGCGGCTTACAAACTCGTTTCCCTTCCCCTCCCCACAACAGACACCCTGTGAGGTAGGTGGCGCTGAGAGAGCTCTTGACAGAAACTGCTCTTTTTCAAGAAGAGCTCTTATCAGAACTACGGCTTGCCCAAGGTCATCCAGCCAGGTGCAAGTGGAGGAGTGGGGAATCAAACCTGGTTCTCCCAGATTAGAGTCCGCGCACTTAACCACTACACCAAACTGGAACAACATAGGAACATATAAGTAACCAGGAACTGAATTGTTGCAATTATCTTATTGCTTTGACATTTTTAATATGTGAGGTAGGTGGGGCTGAGAGACCTCTGACAGAAACTGCTCTTTTTCAAGGACAGCTCTTGTCAGAACTATGGTTTACCCAAGGTCATCCAGCAGGTGCAAGTGGAGGAGTGGGGAATCAAACCCAGTTCTCCCAGATTAGAGTCCTCACACTTAATCGCTACAACAAACTGGCGTGATTTTCAGTGTGAGAAGAATTGTTTAAAATTTATTTTTAGATTGGGAGATAAATTATTTAACCCAAATTTTTGTTACCCTGAAAAAACTACGTTGGTCAAATTTGGACCAAAATATAGAAATTAAATGCTAATTCATTTGATCCGTTTGAGAGTATTAAAAATATCGAACTGAAATGTGAATATTTCAAGTCAACCATCAGATGGTTCCAGGAAAGCTCACTACAGAAAGTATAGATGCTAAAGGAAATATTCAGCAACTTCATTCACACTAATAATTTGAAACAGCATGCTGAACAACGCCAGAAAAATTCACTCTAGACAAATAGGAGTAATAACATGCAAATTGACAGAATGCACGCCTGAACAGAAGGAACTGAGGAACTTAAAAAACCACTGTTTTTAATATGCCACTCTAAACAAAATTCTGTGCGGTGGCATAAGCATGCTCAAGCTTAGTTAACAATAGTTATCCATGACTACTAAGTTCTCTGTCCCTTACCATACACATTTTAAACATTAAATCAATATGTTGTTGAAGGCTTTCACAGCCGGAGTTCATTAGTAGTTGTAGATTTTCCGGGCTGTATGGCCATGGTCTTGGCATTGTAGGACCTGATGTTTTGCCAGCAGCTGTGACTGGCATCCTCAGAGGTATAACACACAAAGCTTGAGTACTCACTGTGTCAAGGGGAGAAGAAAAATGGTAGGCAGGTAACTTATATCTACTCAGGAAGGTGGGGAAGGGCTGAGTCATTATCTTGTAGGAGTTTCCCAGGCTGTGACAGGCTAATAGAGGATCTTTCATGAGGAGATTCTTCTGCATATGGATTGGCTGGTGAAATTCTAATCTTCTTTGTAGTGCTATTGTAAAATGTAGAGCATTTTGTGTTTTTCCCTGTGTAATCTGACATGGTAATTGGATGTGTTGTTCCAAGACACTGAAAGGCTGGACAACACATCCAATTACCATGTCAGATTACACAGGGAAGCCATTTAAATTCATAAAGAAAAACACAATTTCAACTGGAAATAAGACAGTTTAAAAATAAATAGGGCATGGTTTCCTGTCCTGAAAAACACAATAGTACTCCATCTTTCTGGGTTATACCTCTGAGGATGCCAGTCACAGCTGCTGGCAAAACGTCAGGTCCTACAATGCCAAGTCCACGGCCATAGAGCCCGGAAAATCTACAACAACTAATTAAATCAATAGCATGACCTATGGAAACTGGCTATCAGCTTCTATGCTTGGAAAAGGCACTATTTGATACTAAGTAGTTCCGCAACCAGTGAAACACACAGTGTTCTTAGTTCACATCCACTTTCCCCATGATCAATTGGGCTTATTAAAATCCACAACATGGGAAAGAAGTTACAGTAGAATCCTCCATGTCTTGGAGGCCGCAACATTTATACAGGACATGAGATATGGCCAAAGCAAAAAGCTTGGACCACAAGAGTTTAAATTGTTATTATCATACTGTAACTCTAAAAGTGTTCTTTTTTAGAATTCAAGCTATTCACAAGGGAGAAAGGGATGTTACTCTTTTCCATGGGACAAAAGATTTCCTATTGCTAGAAACCTGCAGCAGTGAATTTCTGACTGAAAAACCTATGTATTCACAATCTTGACGGTCTTTCAGTTCACAATGCTGAGGCTCCATCAAAGTTCCTAAAGAAACCAGTTATGTAAGCAAGGCCATTAGCAGACGTCAAGAGAGCGATTATACTTTACCCTTTCAGTGAATGTGAATACATGATGTTATTAATATTTTTTCTTAGTTATAACGGCATATTAAAGAAAGGTAGCAATATATAACCAATGCAGGAGGACAATTAGGAGGAAAGTGGTTGTAGCAGTAATAGGAAGAAAAAAACTGAAGTCTCAGGAGAAACATGTCTACAGGCTAAAGAAAAATACTAAATACTGTACCTACATTAGGAGGGGTCAAATCTGCATTCCATAAAGAAAAACAGGAAAATTATAATTTGTCAGTTTATGACCTCTCATAACTACTAAGAAATGAATGTGCTGCTCACCATTCATATAATAATATTTAAAAGAATGAATAAAATGAATTAACAAAATAATGAAGCTTATGAGGCTATATAAACTACTATTAACAGAACATTTCACTTTTATCAGACAGCTTATTAATGGACAAATTGTTTTCTGAAAGTACAAACTAAGTACTGAAACTGATGGGCAATAAATGCAACAAATTAAAAGAAGGTAGGTGCCAATGGCTGTTCGGTATCTTGGCTAAATAGAACCAAGCAGTACAGCTGCTTCATGGGAGATCAGGGGAAAAGCTAGTATGATGCTTGGGATTTCAGCAGCAGTTAGAAGCCTCTCCAAGAATCCACAGGAAGGGCTGTGACTCAATGGTAGACCGTCTGCTTTGCATGCAGAAAGTCCAGGTTCAATCTGCAGCATCTCCAATTAAAAGGATCAGGTATTAGATGTGAAAAGACCTCTATCTGAAACCTCACAGAGCTGCTGCTAGTCAGAGTGGGCAATCCTGACCTTGATGAGGCAGTTTTATGTATTCAGTTCCTTTGCTTGACTTGAAATCCTAGAAAGTGCTCTCCGACAACTAGAGATCACCCCCACCCCCCCAGTATTCCCTTCAACAGTGTTGAATCTTTCCTCTCCCAAAGTATGTGGTAGTTGGGGAGTACATCTCTCTTTGGCGCTTAGGGAAGCAGGGCTTTTTTCTGGGGGAACATGCCAGAACATAGTTGAGGAACCTCTTCCAACAAAATTCTTTTTAAAATGTTTAAACGTTCATGGGTTTTCAGTATACAGATTGAAAACAAACGAGAAGGGGGGGGATACAACCCAAGAGATGCCTGTGATATATGAGGGTCAAGCTATCAAAATAAGTTGTTATAAAATACAGGGGTCATTTTGTAGAAAAAGAGGTGCAGGAGCTCATTAGCATAACTCATTAGCATAACTTATTTGCATCACCAGAAGTGTGTCAGAAGGCAACACCCACCACTCAGGCTCCACTGGACTATTTTGGATTGCTAGCTATTGGGGGAGGGGGAACATGCAGATCTGTCCTCGCAGAGGAGGGAGAGCTTGTACCTGAATAAAACTTGGTCTTAAAGGTGCCACTGGATGGTTTTGGGCCCGGGGGGCTCTGCAACTTACCTGGCTGCTTCTTGTTCTGACTAAGGGATGCTGGGAGCAGGGGGTGGGGCTTGTTGCATGTGCCTGCCCCCTGGGCTCGTTACTGCCAGAGCTCCGCTCCTGTGTGCTCCTGCAGGAAATGACCCCTGATAAAATACAAATATGTATTATGGTGTACACATTAATAAAAGATAAAATAGGTTAAAATAAATGATCCAAATATTGACCACTGAGGAAGGCTGTAGGAGACCACTGAGGAAGGCCCTAGGGGGCCAAAATCTGTATGGTCTATTAGTCATAAGATACATGTGAAACTAACAGCTCGGTATGTAGAAAGTTTTAAGAGTCTGATATTTGGATCATTTCTTTTAACCTATTTTATCTTTTACTAATGTGTATAGCATAGTTAATATTTGTATTTTTATAAGAACTTATACAGATTGAAAACTTCATTTCCCTCTTGAGAGTTCCAGCACCTCTTTTTAAAAAAAAAAAGCAAGCCCTGGAGGGGAGTAATAAAGAAGAAGGAACTCCAGTGAAGCTTGTCTGTCTGTGTACCCCCCTTTTTCTATTTTCCTTTCCTTCTGTCCCCCCCCCTAACTATTTGAGAGAGCAATGGGAATGTTCAGGGTCTATAACAGTTTTTGCAGCCTTGCTCCAGATTCAAGTCACACTGTACCTCTGAATATTCAGTTCCTGATAGACAAACTGCAAGGGAAACAGAATGTTGGATTGGATTGCCCTGTGGTCTGATCTAGCAGAGCTCTTCTTAAGCCTATTTTACATAACTAACAGTTGAATTTATTTCTGTGTGGAAGTATCTTGGGAGAGCATACCTAGGGATCTATGAATAGTCCAGTATTACTCGTGTGTTATTCAGTTCTACAACAGGACTTAACTATAGTGAGCCAATGTTTTAAACCTTTTTATTTTATAGTTTGAAGGAATTCAGTCAATTGTGTGACAAATTCAGCAGTAAAGCCCTGTTTGCATTTGTACAAATTAGATATTATCTAATATCACCAACAGTATTTGTTAAAGGAACTCACCTTCTAGCAAATTGACATCATAAGAAGTGCTTTCAGGCTTGTGCAGGGCAGGGTATGTGTTAAAGAGATTTGCAACAAAGGCCATGTTAAGTTTAGGGTTGCCTGCAACTACATCTGCTGGAGTCACAAACTGTTTGCAGCCCAGTTTCTCTGCTTGTTGAAGCATATATTCAGCCCTCTTCAAATCACTTTTCTCCTAAAAAGAACAAAATGTTAAAAAATACACTTGTATCTCTGAATCTTCCTATAATATCATACATAAAATGCAGTTCTGGATCAAGTTGCAAAGCAAAGGTTTAGAAACAAATTTTAAGTGACATCTTGTTATTGTTTAATGTGTGAAGATAATACTTGGGAACTTCTGAATAATCAAAGTCTGAGAGGATAGAATCTGACCAGGATAACACTTAGCAATTCAAGCATTACAAGTGACTTGTACAAACCATAAAAGGGTGGTATTTTTTTAATGTTTATATTCCTGGAATATTTTGTTCTATTAGAAATGCAACAGTATTTACTTTTTTATCTTATGAGTAAATTCATTAACATTTATACATTCATATGATAGTTTTACAAGCAATTTGCATTAGACCACAGAACAGCATATAAAGCAGGGCTGCCCAACTACATTCTCCACTCTGTATGTAGCCTGTGTGCCATGCATTTGTGGCCTATGTTTAACATTCCTGATGTTGCAGCGAAAGCCTGAAGTTTATTAAGCATGCTGCAGGCCTCAATACACAGCTGATAGATTCGATTGGTAGCTCACAAGCTATGTGTTAAATCAAATGCTGCTAAAAGCACAGTGCAATATCCAGGAAGGTATGGATGCCTTTGGAAGGGGAGGAAATCTGTAAATAAAAAGCATTCCATGGGGCTAGTACACTCTTGCCAGGAATACTGGAAGTATAAACCCAAGCTTTTCTACCTCAGGAACTTCCACTGGCTAATAAAAATCACATCATAATGTCTAATTTCATAACAATGTCTACAGGGTATGGTGCTAGGCCACTGGCAGGGGATGGGGGGGTAGAGTTGCCAGCTCCAGGTTGGGAAACTTCTGGAGATTTGGAGGTGGAGCCTGGGAAGGACCGGGACCTCAGTGGAGTACAATGCCACAGAGCTGACCTTCCAAAACATCCATTTTCTCCAAGGGAATGATCTCTGTAACCTGGAGATGAGTTGTAATTCCAGGGGATACCCAGGTCCCACCTGGAGACCACCATCCCTACTGCAGAGTTATCATGACCCCTTATTCATAGTGTAAGGATATTTTTAAAAGTGGTATCAATTTAATTCAAAATCAATTCAGACTTTTTAACTATACAAGAGAACTTGTTAAGATATTCTAAGTACTGTACTATAGGAGGACTCCTGGGCTGCGATCACACGTGACTTTAGATCCGATATAGGTACGAATGCTGACGTATAAGGGCGTGATCAGACAGAAACATCTGGGAAGTGTCCTGCCGTCATCGGCTCTGCTGCAGAAGCAGAGTTAAAAGACACCAGGGAAAGTCTGGCTGTAACGGGTTCTGAGAGACCACGGACGGACTTTCCCGTCTGATCATGCAACCATGCTCTCATGCCGTCGGGATGGTCTGATCAGTCCATCCCAACTCAGTGCCGTTTCCCCCCCCCCTTAGCAGTATGCGCATCATCGTATACTTCATAGGGGGCCCTCAGGGCGGAGGTGCAATTCCTCATTTATGCGCCTGGGAAACAAATGGCCAAAAAAACCTGACCCACCCACGGTTGCATCTGATCACAGAGTGACGGGCTGAGCCTGCAGCTACAAAGGGATGTGTGATCTCACAACTGCATGTCACATTCCTCTGGAATGCATAGCCTCGCTTCCGCTCCGCTTCAACTGGCACGTGTGACCACAGCCCTAGAACAGCAAAGCTATAAGTTGATTGTCGTATTCTAGATCAGGGGTGGATAACCTTTACCCACCAAGTACATAATATTATCATTGAATGCCTCCCCCCCCCAAAAAAAAAAAGCATAAGGAAAACTGTGGATCTCAAAACAGCATTCCAGACAGAACAATTTCACTTGTATTTATGATATGTGCATAAATATACACATCTTACAGATACATTTAACAAAGTCCTTATGTATAATGACCATTGGTCAATGTTAGGTTTGACTGAAATGGAAGGGTGCTTTTTTTCAATTTCCCCCTTATTGCAGACACCCAGTTGACCCCTCATACTGTTCCCGAAGGCAACATTTCAGGGAGCTCAGTGGGCTGCAATGGGAGGAGGGGTCTGTTCTGCTGGCAAAAATACTTTCTCTTAGTGATAACTGAACTTTAGATATAACCATGTATCAGTATCCATACATATATACACATACATTTAGACCTGAAAGATCTATGTCAATGGCAGTCTCCTCACTGTTGTCTCCTTTAGGTGCAATTTGCTTCAGAAGGTGATAGTATGCTTTCGAGTCCTGAAACAAACAATACAAAAATTGAACAAAAGTTCTCTCTGTATATTGACGGCAGACACTGAAGAAAGGTGAATCACCCTGTCAATAGCTGCATTTGCATTCTTTAGATAGTAACATAAAGATTAAAATATTTCATTTGTGTCTGCATTGGAAGGAAATAGGAAAAGTAAAAAGACAGCAGTCATATTGGAGGTTGAACTTTTTAAAGAGATAAACTCCCAAATAGAGGAATAAAGACACTGTGTTTCATTTATTTTTATTCTCTTTATTTTATTCCTTCACTGTCTGCCTTTCTCACTCAGACATCAGGCAGATTACACAGTGTATAGCAATGTACTCAATAGGATGTGACAACTAATAAGCAATGCAGTCAGAGTAGGAGTATAGAAACTTGGAACAAAGCAAACAGTATTAGACTTTATCTTAAGCAATGCCAAAAATGGTATTACGTAAGTAGAAGATAATGCAGTGGGAGCAGTATAATTGTTGTTGTTCAGTTGCACAGTCGAGTCTGACTCTTTGCAACCCCAACAATAATACATATAGCAAATAGATAATAGATACTGTATATAGTAGTAGTCTAGTCCACATTCCCATTCTTTTATGAAAGCACCTTCCTGAACCATTATGTTGTAACAGCCCTATTGCCTTTATAGAAATGCCTTCTTGAACAATTCTGTTTTACATTCTTTGTGGGAAAAGAGAAGTGTAGAAGCCTTCCTGACCTACTCAGTTAGGCCATTCCACAAGGCAGGGGCCACATCAGGGTATGTATAGATGCCACGGTAAGAAGACTAGACTATTGTAATGCACTCTACGTGGGTCTGCTCTTGAAGTCAACTCAGAAACTCCAGCTGGTACAGAATGCCACAGCTCAGTTACTATCAGGAGCTATGCAGAGTATGCATACCATACTCATTTTGGATTCACTCAGCTGCCCATCAGCTACCAAGTTCAGTCCAGTATCACAAAACCACCCATCCTCCTATGCTCTGCCATAACAACTTTGCCAATTCAAGCAGGGTCTTCTGCTGGTGCCACTCTAAAATGGGTAAGATCAGTAAGTGTCTGTTCATGTATGTTCTCTCTGTGGTTGCTCCCACCTTGTGGAGCAGCCTGCCTGAGAAGTTCAGGTAGGCTCCCATGCTTCTATCATTCTGTAGAATTTGCAAAAGAGAAATGTTCAAAAGGGCATTTCTGCAAAAGGACTACAGCAGTATAGAATAGCCCAGGAGGGCACCTTTATAATGGAACAGAATTGTATCATTATTCTAGGTATTAGCGATGCTGGGCCTCCTGACTCTTTGCCTGCCAGTGCCTCAGGTGCTCATGGGAGGAAATGGGGATGGATAGTGTGCCCACATTACACCGGTGTGCTTATGTCACTTCCGGTGAAACCATGGCTGCGGTCACACACACTAAATAATCTCCTTTCAATCCACTTTCCAACTGGATTTTGCCAGTTCACACAGTAAAATCCAGTTGGAAAGTGTACTGAAAGTGGATTATTTAGTGTGTGTGAACGCAGCCCATAAACGCTAGACTCTCCACAGACTTTACTAGGCTCTGCCCTCTAGTTTCTCTTGGGGGTTTCTGGCTGTGGCTTGGCAACCCTACTATCATCTTGCTCTTACTGTCTTTATAACTCCACTTTCTGCATTGTTAGTGGTACACTCTGCCTTCTAATTTTGTTATCCTAGTTCTTATTGCATTGGGTGTCTTATGCTGTATGATTGTATTGTGTTTAAATTTTGTAATCTGCCTTGAGTCTCAGCAAGAAACATACACACATAAATAAATAAATTGCGCAAGGGAGTGGACTTCAGTCTTCTACCCTGCACTATTTTCCCAAGCTGAAACAGCCATCATGGGGCTCTATGTGCATAGAATACTGTGCAAGTGATGTCTAGTTTGGACCTGAGCCACATACCAACAGAGTTTATACATTAATAATCTCTGTGTCTTCTATGCAGTAAAAAGTAAAAACCCCAAAGCAGCAGGGGGCTGGGTGTACAAGATGTCAAAATAAAATTTTTACATGAACTACTACAACCATAACATTTTTTGTTTTTGTTTTTGAAATAGCACATATTTGCTCTGTATAAATACATTAATACAACACTCCGAAAACAACAAATAAGCATTTGCTCAAAACTTGCTAGGTTCTAGCTTTTATTTTAGCAAAGGATTTCGGTATTAGGACAAAACTGGTTCTTCCAAACTGAAGCTGGTTTGAGGTTCATAGCAAAGTTCAGTAGCACTAGTGGAATGCAGTTGTCACTGGGTAGGAGTAAAAAAGAACTGGAGTCCAGTAGCACTTTAAAGACTAACAAAATTTGTGGCAGGGTATGAGCTTTCATGAGTCACTGCTCACTTCTTGTATTTAGTCTTTAGGGAACTCTTGGTGCCCATCTTGATCTATCATCATTGGGTAGGAGTGAGAGAAGACAAAAACTATGCCCTACCTGAATTGAGTTTCTTTTTTTAACCCCAGGAATGGACCAGAGAGGAAAAGTCTTCACTCTGGTATACCTTACCTGGCCTTGCTGCAAGTCATACAGCCTGAGCCATTTGGCTACTGGTAGGGTGTGCAACAACTGAATGGAAGCAACAAGATAAGGTCAATAGCTCTCATCTCAGTGCTGCCTAGCTGCCCCACATCTCTCCTTCTGACTCTCACACCAGCTAAAATAGAGCACTTGCACTTATTGTGAGAAGCCAGCCATTAGATTAAAACACGTTTACAAAAACGTTTCTATGATGGTTTTCAGTTCAGTTCAGTTAATTGATACGGTCCTTAGAGCAGTCATACAAAAAAAAAAGAGGTACAGTATTCCAAAATTTTAAAATACATCAATAAAACATTAAGAGCAAATTAAAATTTAATCTACTGTCTAGCTGCCGTAACCTATGATGGTTTAAATTAGTTCTGGTTAAAAGCTTCTGATTCTAAACCATTAGGTTAGTTTTGTTTATTAGACAGACAATCGAAGAGATACCTTAATATCTTGACTAAAGTTATGTATTTTCTTCCATTCAGCATTGTCCAAATGGTAGTTAACCCAACGCAGCAGGAGGTCTTCTGGAGACAGTTTAATTAATTGCTCTAATTCTTCATCATCATTTAGCAAACCAATAAGAGCTATAAAAAAGTTTTCAGGAAATCTTTAGTGTTATTAAAAATTAAGATTGCATAATTATTAATAAACTGTAAAAAGGAATAAGAAGCAAACCATTATTACAGATTTCAAGATTTCAAAATTCTGTAATACCCAATAGTCCTTAATTTCATACCTTCATTTCTGGAGATTTCTATATCTGCAAAAAGCCCAACCTTAATAATTTGCCACAACAGTCCTAGCACCAAATGTGGCTTTCCTTCTTTTAGATCTTGTGATCCAATATTGACTACTGTACAACCAATAGCTGATGCAGAATTCAGTGCAAGATCTAGATTTTCCTATATGGGAAAAGAACAAGAAATATATATGGAAGTTTGTGCATTAATGTATGAATAGAGACAGCTAACATTTAAAAATAACATAAATATAAAAGAAAAGCTAGGCAAATAAATAAAGGACTGGTTTTCACCAATACAACTTCTAGCAAAGATGGATATGGGATGAAATATTTCATTCAGGAACAAAAAGCAAGGAGACTTCCCACCTGGAACCAGTAAAGAAAGAAAAAGCTGGGGGGGGGGGG